TCCACCACGAGTTTAGATGATCTCAGCAGAAACTTGACGGAGGTAGATCAAAATTTGCTACGGTCTCACAATATCATCAATCGTTTATTTGGATAACTACAACAGTCATTTCTTACACATTAAGACTACTTGATAAATACTGCAGATACTTGCAAACATGTAATGAAATTCGCGTTTTACTTATAAAAAATAATTAATAAAAAAAAACATAATTTACACAATGAATTAATTAAATAAATTTTTGAGCGTTCTAATTTTTATTATTAAAAAATATTCTCTGAAATTCGTATATAATACACACATTTTCAATATTTTTTTCGACTAATTTGTGTACAGTTTTATAAAATTGATCTGTTTTCTTGGCAGATTCACGAATTCTATAACAGAAGTGATGAACTGATCAAAGAAGAGATTTGCTTGGAAAGCAATGGAAATTTCGATAAATTTCAGCAAAAATCATCCGACGTTCAAAACTTATTTCTTATCAATGATGCAATGGAATTTTGGAACTGCGTTGCAAAAGATATCAACATAAATGTAGAAGATCTTCTGAAAACTTTACCAGAGGTAAATGATAATAAATTTGTTTTTTTTTTGTTGCATTTCATTCATTCAAAAACTAATGATTATGTCAAATATGACATAATATTTGTTAACGAAACGTCAATTGTCAAATGTTAATGACAGTGACAGTGATGTCATTACGATTTGTTTTCGTTCAATTACATATATAATTGCAGACAAATCTTGAGAAGATAGCGTTCTGTTCACAGTGTTCCACCATCACGCCTTCATCAGCGAAGTTTGAAGAATTATTCAACGATCTTCAGAATCAGCACAAAACGGTTCTTCGAAATTCATTTAATAACGATGACGCAATGGAGTGCGAATATTGGGATGCAGTTTCGTCCACGAATGTATCCTACAAAAGACCAGAGAAATCCGTCAACACTTCACCACAAGTAAATAAAGAAAATTATCAAAATTCGTTAAAAAGCGCCCATTAATTATTATAAAAAAAATAAAATTTAAATTTGACAGTTGACAGTTGACAATTGACAAAAATTCATGACAGTCAGTAATTAGTATTAATATTATTATTGCAACAATTATATAAATAATTACAGAAAAATAAGGATTTAGTCTTCTGGACAAAGTCATCACCTACCAACTACACAGCAACTTCGGCGGTTAAGTATGTGCAATCCGAATTATGCAACAACCATCAGGATGAGAAATCCGTCGTTCGAAACCCATTTAATGTCTACGCGAATCCGGAGGATCTTATGAGCACATTACAGCAGGTAATATTTTCTTTTATAGAAATGTCAAAAACAAATGTCAAAGTGTCAAATATTTGATTATGAAAATATCATGTTTCTTTTGTTAAATATCTATTTCATTCTGTTAATCATACTTCTTTGTTTTTTTTTGTGTATAATTATCAGAAATCTGTCGTTCAAAACTTATGTAATATCGATGATACAATGGAATTTTGGGACTCACTTTCGTTACATAAAGAATGCAGCACGAATGTAGATGATGTTGTGAACACTTTACTTCAGGTAATTGAAGAAAATTATTATATAATACGCACATAATTTTTAATACAAAAAAAAATAAACGTAAATGACATAATTTTAAAAAAATACGTCAAGTGTCAAAGTGACAGTTGCACTTTTTTTTTATATTAATTGCGATAATTATAAAATAACATCAATATTTTCAGACATATACTGATATTAATACATCGTCGTCGTCTTGCTCTGCCAACAATCAAGAATCCGTGATTAGAAACTCATTTAATAATGATGATCCAATGGAATTTTCGGACTGTCCGTCTTCACCGAATGTTTCCAACACGAATCCTGAGGATCTCATGAGCACATCACCGCAGGTAAACGAAGGAAATAAAAAATTGAAATCTCAAATGACAGAATTGTTAATTAAAAAAAAACAAACGTCAAATGTCATGAATTACTTAAACTGTCAATCAAATATGACAGCTTCATAATATATAGAATATTTGTAATAATTACAGCAACCATATGATAATCAAGAATCGAACGGTCAAAACTTATATAATAATGACGATACAATGGAATTCTGGGACTCCTTTTTGACGCAATCAATCAATTCCAACAGACGTGCAGAGGAATCCATCAGCACATTACCAGAGGTAAACAAAGAAAATTACCAATTAATAAAATTGTACTTTAATTATATTTCTTAAAATGGTCTTTCAATGGTCCATTTTAGGCAACTTTTTTTACAAATTGTTGAAACCTTAAGTTTAGTGAGCTAACTTTTAAGATAACAAAAAAAAATCTCTTAAATTTCAACAGATGGTCGAAGATCGTAATAATTGTGCAGAAACGAATGAAGTAGTTGAAAAATCGAGTAAAGCAGGATACCAGAGTTACATGCTTGAAAGTATTTACAGGGGGTTCGAGTATATTAACTTAGCCACGCGAAGAAACCTCATCAAACTGATTGGTATTATTACCATGAAGCAGTTTCGTTCGTGGTTGTCTTGGCGCAAGAAGATGCTGTTGGATCCAATTCCCACGCAATTCGAAAGAGCCAACGATAATAACTTGGATGAAAATGTGAATAACGTCGAGGATTTGGATGACTTTGTGGATCTATCGCAAAATGCGAATCCGGATTTAGATGGAGTTTTACAAGGAAATGATTAAGAGTTTCCTTATTATTCGACTATGATATTAGCATAATATTTTTTTTAATACATTTAATTTATTTTTTATCTATAATTAAGAGCGTTTAACGAATGTTGTACATATTTGTAAATATATTATAAGAAACGCGATTAATAGCTGAAATTCGCGTCGCGTTTTAAAAGAAACGAGATGTGTTTATTTGCTACTAAAACTAAATAATTTCGCGAAAGAATTAGTGCATAACTAGCACAGTTTTTGCTGTTGTTGAAGTGTTGTTGAAGAGGGCATAATGTTAGTCGATAGGAGAATGATGCGTTTATTAATTCTTTTCTGTTGCTTCGTGAGGTTTTCGGATCAGATTTGGTGTCTTCTGTATCTAATACCGCGCGATCCCAATCACAACCTGGTCGACTTCTACCATATCTACACTACGCAATTCTTGATGGTCTTCGTCCAATCTTCATTACGACAAAGTCAAGAATCTTCAGCCCTCATACACATACTACAAACTCATCTTCAATGATCCGTCAGAAACGTCGCATACGCAACTTACTGAAACAGTCGTGATTTTCAATTTTTTAACCAAAAACTCAAAACAAAACTCTCAGAGAAAAGAAAATGGAAAATCTAGTTATCGCAAATTATATAAATCAATATTTCAACTTTTTCATTAACAAATATAACAAAAGAAAAAGTGCGTTTTTAAAATGTAATTTTATATTATCAATTTACTTAAATTTCTAAGTTTTAAATTGCATTAGAACAAAAAACAAAATCATCGTTTTCTTTAAAAAACAAAAATATATGTACACATGTACAAAAAAAAAAACAATATTTCAATTGTTACGTTTCACTTGTGATTTTTTTTAAATGTATCGTTTGAATTAATATAATTTTCATGTATAAATCTTAGATTATTTGACGTAGCTGTTAAGACTGTTAAAAATTCAATTTGAAAATTGATCTACTTTTTTTTTCATGAAATGTTTCTTGTCGAAATATTTGATTAACTGAAATAAAAAAAAAAATGTATTTTATTTTTATATGTGAAGTTTGTAATTAATAAAATTATAAATAGTTTTCTTGTCTCTTTTTTTAAATATAAATAAATTGATTTAAATTTTCGGTTGATTCAAAAAAAATATTACAAAATTTCGTTAAGTTTTATGGCAAAAAGTGTAATAAGAAATGGTTTGAGATGTTTAAAAAAGAAAGTGTGATAAGAAATGTCGAAGATTTGTGTATTTCTCAGTGCAGTTAACTGTAATTAATAAAATTATAAATAGTTTTCTTGTCTTTTTTTAAATACAAATAAATTGATTTAAATTTTCGGTTGATTAAAAAAAAATACAAATTTCGTTAAGTTTTATGGAAAAAAGTGTAATAAGAAATGGTTTGAGAGTTTAAAAAAGAAATTGTGATAAGAAATGTCGAAGATTTGTGTATTTCTCAGTGCAGTTAACTGTGCAAGACTGAAACGATGTATCTGCAGTTCCTGGCGCTTCGTTTGAGTTTAAATTACGAACATTCCGCTTCCGCCTCCGACTTTCTCCTATTCCAGTCGAACGATGTTATTGTGCGCAGTTTTCTTCTTCTGCTGCTGTACTTCTTCTTCTACTTCATGGTCATGTTCTTGTATCATCCATATTATAACGCACACTGGATGTTGTACGTGCCGTTCTACATTCTCTGGAGATGCTTGATGATTGTGAAGATGATTGATCCCTTCGAGGAATTGTCCACGACGAACTACGTTTTCTGACAAACCTTTTTTTTTAATTTTAAACTGTAATTTTTAATTCGTTTGATGATGAAATGTAAAAATTTTAGAAAATTTTAACTTCTTTTTTATTTTTTTGTTAATGTCATGTAATTATTATAAAATACGCAATAAAATGACGAATGGAAATTAGAAAATTTTGTTTTATTTAAATTTTACAAATTACAAAGATTAGTTTATGTAAAATAAAATTGACAAGAAACAATAGAAATTTAAGATTTAAAAAAAATATACAATTTAATTCTAAGTTTATAATACTAATATTTTCATTAAGTAATGTTGTTGTTGTGACGAGAGTTGATCTTTAAGAATTTCGGATTTAAAATTGGAATTATTATAAACTACGCAATAAAATGACGAATGGAAATTAGAAAAATTTGTTTTATTTAAATTTTGGAAATTACAAAAATTAGTTTATATAAAAGAAAATTGACAAGAAACAATAGAAATTTAAATTATTAATAACTTAAGTTTAAAAAAATAATACAATTTAATTCTAAGTTTATAATA